TCAGAATTTTGAAAGTTACTGACTGCTGTTGTTGAGGATAAACACAGCAGAGCAGAAAGCACGTGAACGACGACATGTGTATGTGTTGACATGATGCCTTCTTCCGAGGTGTGCAGCCAGTCTGTCTCCTTTCTGAAATGTTTCGCTCCCACTAACGTCACGCAACTCACTGCACTCTTAACTCTCCTGGCTAGTTTTTCTACTTCCTGGTGTGAGTTTAAATCCAGACAGTTCTGTAAGAGCATAATACTCAAGAGAGATGTTTTCTACTAGTGGAGCTCAACTGTTGTTCGGTTTAAAGACGGAGGGATACTTGTAGTGTAAGCCTTAAAGATCCCTTCAGGGAAATCGTTTCAGGGGTTTATCCAGCCCTTTGGGTCCAGAAGTCTGAATCCCCTGAGAACTTAAAATGGTTCTTCCGCCTTCCCTCTGCTTTGATCGGAGTCCCTGTGCAGCAGCTTTGGTCGAGACCTGCCGCAATGGTTGTTGGGCCGATTTTGGTTTCTTGCAGCTGAACGTACTCGGACATATCAACAATTTCACAGTCCCAGCCAAAATAACAGCCACAGAAAAGGGGAGGTTTAGGCCCAGTGGTTTAAAGCTGGGATTGGCTGCGCTGGTGGAAAGCTGGCTGCTCTGTCGGTAAAACAGTGACAGTCTGAGACTGTCGCACGCGGGCAACATTTGGAAACAAGAATGATGGGGAAAGTTCACAGAGCAGTTCTGCTGGAGAAAACCTGTGGACATTTTTGTGTTTGCTTGAGTTGAACTTGTGTGCCACCAAGTTCATTTCAATTTTACTTTTCTTCCTCTTTTAATTTTTTTAAGCCACTCAAACCACTATTTAGATTTAAGGGATAAGGAATCTGGAGGGATTTTCCTTTGGGGGGTGGGGTTTAAACATACTGTATATTTACATATTAACACAGTCCATCTCAAGAAATGAAATCAATTATATTCTGTTAAACTCTCCAGACAGATGGTTCTTTTTCTCCCCACCACCCAGCTTTGCCCCCCTCCCTCCTCAATAACCTATTTCCTTTCCTCATGTTCCACCCCCACCCCCACCCCCACCCTATCCCTGGCCTCCTCATAGCCATCAACATCTTGTCTATTGGTATGTAAGCCACCTGCCTTTTTCCTCCTAACAATGGGGTTATTAAATATTCATCTTTGTAAAGGCAATTTGTAGAATGGGAGAAAAATGCGAAACAACGCAACTGCTTAAAAAGCCCAGACTCCACAAGAATACTTTCTTCTAGTAAATTGGCATTCTATGATGCTCACCTTCCTGACACAACCGCTGAAGACAAAGCACTGAATAAGCAAATGTGGTAAAGAAAGCTGATGGTGCCCGGCTATCAAAAGATATAGCGTCTGGGGTCTTAAAAGCTTGAAGTTAAATAAGCGGCCAGCTAGCTCAGAAGCAACAAAGCCCACATGGAACAACATATCAACCTGTGTGATCACGGGGTG